ACTGAACTGAACTGAACTGAACTGAATGTGTCTCTCGGACGTTCCTGCCGTATCAGCTTGCCAGCAGGGACGGTCGATCACTTGCCCTTCCTGTGCCTCTTTTCATCCATCTCAAGAAACACATACGTAGACTTGACTGACTGGCTGGCTGACAGACTGACTGGTGGCTGTGCGGCTGGCTCCAACTAACCAACTGACTGACGAACTCTAAACTTAACTAGCTACCTAACGAACGAACCAACCACTAACCAACTAATGAACTATCGAACTAGCCAACCCTTTCTGCCCGTCTGTCTACCTACCCATCCACCCATCCATCTATCCATCTATCTACTGCATCTATCTACAAATCTCTGCATCTATCTATCTATCTATCTATATATCTATCTATCTATCTATCTGTCCACCAATCCATGCATCCACCTACCTATCGATCCTTCCGACATAGATCGATGAATGGATTGATCGAAATAGCCACGTACCTATACACTTCTCCATCCATCTATCCACCTCCTACTGGTATCTATCTTAATGTCCATGCCGATGTATGTATGTATGTATGTATGTATGTATGTATGTATGTATGTATGTATGTATGCATGCATGTATGTATGCGTCTACCTATCTACGTATCTACCCACCTACCCACCTACCTACCTACCTACCTACCTACCTACCTATCTACCTACCTACACTACCTATTCCTTTAAAATGTGTACATCTATCTATCAATTCAGCTGTCTACCTGTAACATCTGTATGTGTCAACGGTCAACTTGTGGCCAAGAGCCGGGCCCGGAGCTGTACTGCCTGTCTCAGCCTTGCACGGAGATGCGACTGGGATTTTCTGCAACGAGAAAACTGCGAGGCTTTACACAGAAGCCCATACATGCGCAAGCCGAACCCTGCAACACCTCTGTCTGCCTGCGGGACGCAAAACCATAGGCTGGGTAGTCGCTGAGCTTCAAGCAAATCTCCACGCTCTTCCGAGCCCTCTTCCATCAGATTTGCGGCCGCCTCCATCTGTGCCACCTGCGGGTCGCCACGCCAATGCCTCCCCCTTCGGTGCCTACTTCTGAGGGCTCTTGACTTGGAACAGCAGCACCTCCCGCTCCTTGTCCTTGAAGCGTTCCAGAGCCCTGAGGCAAGCAGAAGGCTTCTGAAAAAAGGGCACCAGGGCATCTAACCCTAACCAGAATCAGCCCAGATCCCGGCCCCAGGCCTCTGCTGTAAACGTACTTCGCGCTGGGAGTTCCATTCCTGGCGCGCAGGAGACCAAACACCCAACTTCTTCCTGTCACCAAGCACATGCAGGCATACAAGCAACCGAGGGGATTTCGCTTCCTTGCAAAGAAAACGACGCGGAAACGAGGAACCACGACAGTACGTGATTGGGTCCTCAAGACCAGCGCCATTCCTCAATCCAAGGCTCTGGACTTAGCCGTCTCCAACTTCCTTGTTTATGCCCGAGTTACCCAGTCTTTTCCCTCGCTTCATTAGCCGTGGTCCGAGTTTTTGCGTTGAGGCATTTGATTCTGAACCTCGCGCCTGCTGGACTGCCTCCTCACTGACCGCGGCGGCAGCTGCCGCGTCCTTCGGCAACAAAAACTAGAGATCCGAGGAGTGCGTCAGGGCAGCAAAAGTTGCAGAGGACTGGAAAGCAGTAGGTTTGAGTCTGTGGATTCAAGACCGCCAGCACACACATGAAGCTTGATTTATGAAAGCTCTTCTGAGATCGCAGCTCGATGACGCTCTGCCCGCGAGCGGGGCTGCATGGCTACCTGCATTATCGTTGCGGCCACGTCGTGCCATCAACCATATATCCCGATACTTACAATAGTTCCCTACACTGGCCATGCAACGAAGCACTGCACACTTCCCTCCCTGCCCGGTGCCTTCAGTTGGCTCTCTGTTTCTCTCTCTCTACGAGCCATCAAGCCGTGGGAGCTCGGCAAGTGCAAGTTTGTCAGTATTTTGGGCCTCCCAGGTCATGGGTTCACATTCACCCCTGGCTCTCCCCAGAGATGCTGCATCTCACCCCGCCAAGGCTTGCAAGGCAGGCATCCATCCCGTGAGATGAGGGTCGGACATCTGGGAAATGAGAAAGTGCAAACGTCAACACTTGCAGCACCAAAGCTAACATCTCAGACTAAGGTCGGCAAAACCACGAGATTGGGAAACTTCACGAAGATAGCCGGGGGCAGAGACTCTGTCTGAAAAAACGCCATAAGCCTGCCTCGGCATCAGGAGCTCTGGCAGGACTTGTCCATGGAAGGAAGATACAATTCCAGACTTCTTTTAAGGCTGTGATGTGGCCTGCTACAGCGGTTTGAAAGCTCGGGTCTGCTCTTGAGCCTGATGCTGAGCCGTAGAGAGCCTAGCAACGCAAGGAATGGATTGCCATGGAGACGTTCGGCCGTTGATTATTGACGGCTCGGAGAGCCTTTCCACCGATCCCGATGAGGTCGCTAACATCCTCATTGTCAAAGCCCAGTGGAGCTGCTGCCTTGCATACACTCTTTGCCGCGAGAGGCTCAACAAAAGAAGGCTGGGGAGACGGTTCTGAAGGCATCAGCTGATGGCTTTGGGAGCTTGGCTTCCGCGTGTTGCTGCCACCTGAGCTTCGTGCCACAAGGCAGAAGAGGCTGGCGAAGAGCCACAGCTCTGGCTGCATCAATTAAGTTAAGAGATTTCACTGCGAGTGCTGGGGGCTTTGAAATTTGCATGGGGATGGAGCTTCAGAGCCTCGACTGACGCTAGATGACCTTGCATCGTCTTTCCTTAACAGAGCAAGTATCGGAAACGAAAAGAGTCTTTGATCAAGTGCTGAAGCTACTGCTAGGTACGACTAGCGTTCTTTGAGCCAATGGCCTTGAGACAATACGGTGCTGCGCAGTTGGGAGCGGCCAGGTGCGAAGTGCAAAATCAAGAGGCATGGGACTATCAAATATCAGTGGTTAGCCTTCACATGCACACGAAGCCCATTCTCTTAGGTCACAAGTTCCACTTGGCAACTCCGGAAGGCCGCCATTTGGGCCATTGGTGCAGCGAGGCAGATCCGGAAGGGTGCACCCCAAACCCAAGGCCCGCATAAGGAGGGGGCTATGCCGGCTTGTATGTTGATGTTTCATTCCGGTTCCTGTCAGCCTCAGGCCTAGCAGTTTGACCTACTGTTCCAGGGTGGCGAGGTTTGATCGTGGTGAGAGGATGGGATGCGCCAGCTATCTGTTGGCATGAATGGGTACGGTATGGCCCTAATGTATTTGGGGTTCGTGACGGTTCGTCTCCGGAATGCGTACAGTAGTTGCACTCGTGTCGTAAGGTCACTAGACGAGCTGCAAGAAAGTCTGTGAGTGAGTAGGTGAGTAGGCAAGGTCCCTTGATCCCTGGAGGAACCTCGAGGCTGTGGAGCTGCAGACGGCGCTTTTGGATGGCAGCGGCGGTGTGGCTCTGTGCGGTGTTCCGCATGCCGACAAGCTGCCTCCGGCCTCCGAAAGCTTGTTTTGGCCTGTGTCCGCGTCCTTTCACCATTCTCGCGCGGAGTGGCAGGGTGTCAGTGTTCGAAAGAAACAACGAGTACATGGTTACATCGCTGGTTCCGCCGCAATCTGCTGTCGTGCTGAAAGATGTGACAGGGATTCAAAAGACGCTTCTGAAACATCTGGCTTCGGACGGAATGTGTCACCAGGTCGCGCATTCATGCGCGTACAATCTCGTTGACGTTCTGTCCAAAATCGAGTCGTCCGAAAGGGGCGTTCGACATGCACCACACCAACACGTGCTGGTATCCACCTCCGTCGTCCTGCAGCGACCCAAGCAGGCGGAATGAATCGCGGCGCCAGAGCAAGGGATGTCCGAAGGCTTCTTTCATCCAGCACCTCGTGCACTTCACGTTCAATTGGCACGGAGCTCCAGGCTACAAATATGTGTTGGTGACTCCCTCTTCATCCTCGTACTTCTCCTCATCCTCCTGTGCAAATCTTAAAGTCGAGATGCTGCGTGCGCAAAGTCGATCTGTGTCATCGCTGTAAGAGTGACTGTGCTCCATGGCGCCAATGGGGCCGGTAGTACCGTTAGAGGCAGAGGCGGCAGAGGTGTGACCAACAGCGGTCCCAGCACTTACGGCAACCCGGCTGCTCAAGCGAGAAAGCCTGAAGCTCGGGATGGACGCTTAAATCAACACAAGACACTAAAGCAGCAGAAACAAAAAAAAGACATCTCTCAACAGGACCCGCCTTGGTCGACTACGGTGCTCCGTCTCGATTTGGTCGCAGCGTCGCAGCAGAAGGCGCTGCAGGTCGTCACGGTCCAGGACTCCATTCCCGTCTTTGTCTAACTCCTTGAAGCGATCGATAATTGGTGTGACATGGTCCATGTCCACAAGTTCCAGTGCCCTCAGCATGGCCAGAACGTACTCCAGCTCCGTGACTTTCCCGTCGCCACTAACATCGAACTCCTCTATCAAGGTGGGATCCAGCTCCCGCTGCAGCATCCGTGCCTTTCGCAAGCTCAGGTGGCGGGCTTGTCTCAATCTGTTGATATGCTCAGCCCACATGATGATCAACCCAATGCCATAGCTGGCAACAACGATCGACCAGCCCTTCGCCGAATTCGTGCGTGGGCAAATGTCTCCGTAGCCAACAGTTGTTGAAGTGATGACCTCCAGAAGATTCGAGTAATTGCTCTAAACACACAAAGGAAGAACACTGAAGCTAGGCATTGATCTTTTTCATCTTACTCAAAGGAGTTGTTCGATTCTGCCGCGACACGAAGTAATAGATGCTGTCGAAGAGACCCATTTCATAGGTCTCTGTCACATCCAGACTGCTCGTGAAAGCACCGGGTGAATCAACAAACAGCGCCCACATCACGAGCATCATTAAGCATGCCGTGGCGGCCAGGAAGGTTGCCAGCTCCACGATGCCCCAGAAGTAGAAAGGAACCGAGGACAGGACCCACACATTCGACTCCTCGATGTGGATCCAATCCCCACGCTCCGGTGTTGGAAGGCAGTGGCTGAGCATCCAGCACCAAGGCCTGGAAGTTTCCGAAAATAGGGGACCCTAATATAGTACCCCAATTAATAGGATCCCTATTATAAGGACCCCAAAATAAGGATCCCTATTATAAGGACCCCAAAATAAGGTACCCTAAAGTTTCTGAAACTCCCGCCTAAAGCAGAGCGAGAGCCATGCACGTTGAAACTCCGCCAAAGTACCGGTGATGAAGGGCACGGAGAAGAAGGCGTAGACCATGGTGAAGGCACGGGACTCCGTGGACGTAGGTGCCAAGCACCCATATCCGACTGTGGTGGTGGTCACCTTGGGCCAGCTCGGGTCAGAATCACAAGTCTTGCAGTGTTCGACACCCCACTCTCGATTGTGGCAACTGCAGAACTGACTAGTTTCGCCTAGATAGTTTGCTGTGGCCGGATCATTGCAATGGTCCTACGGATGCTGTAGCGGGGTTTCCATTCGGCCGAAGCAACGAAGCTGAAGTAAATGCAATCAGTGAAGGACCATTCAGACTCCAGGAAGCTGTAGATAACGCCGCCGGCCAAACAGTAGCAGCTGCATACGAACAAGCAAGTGGCAGCCCGAGTCGGGCTGACATGGAGATCAACTGGAAGTGCCATGGGGAAGTAGCTACCGCTGAGAGCCACCAGAACCGTTCACATCACAGGCGCTACGCCACAGGCGGACGATCCAGTCCCCGGGCGGGGAGGCGACAAGGCCAAACAAGAAGACCACTCAAGAAGGGCTTGCTGAACCATGCCATGCGTGTCAAGTGCTGTGGAAAGCATGTCCGAAGTGAAGCCTAACAGATTGCTGCAACCGCGCATGTTTTGGTGGGAAAACGGAAACACAGTGCAAGTTTTGGCGTCCCAAACTTCATCCCACGGTTGCTGGCACACACACACACACACACGCAGACATACATACATACATACCCACATCCACACCCCACCAAGCCTCACCCTTCGTGTGTTGTCAACGATTTCGGGTCTGAAAGAAATCAAAGGATGTCTCATGCTTTTCTGCAGCCGGTCAACTTTCAGTCCCACCTTCGAAGCCTGATGACCTTCAAGCCGACGCAAACTACAAGCACTGACTATACAGGTCACCACAACTGTCCACAGTCCCAATGCTAGTGCTGACAATAATCCTCGTTGAGCTGCACCACTTCCTGCGGGATACACAAAGAGTACTGCATGAGGGTCAAAAGTCGTCTGGTATCCTTGAGTCTACTACGAAAATGCATGTCCTGATTTATGAAGATATGGTGACCCTCGTGTGTCGGAGCTGGTGCAAACAACGTCTTCATTGTTCTGGTTGCCGCATCGGCCCATTCCAGAATTCCAACATGGAATTCATGGAGCAAGCCATTCGCATTATTGATCGCTTCCCATGCTGCAATACAGTGCTGGAACGCAATGGAACGCACTTACTCTTGCTCTGTTTTCCGAGAGCTCCCCAGAAGCTGCGTCCCCAACATCCTCATGCACCTCGGGCTCATACGGCGAGTTGCGGCCTGTGGCGTAGTGTGCGGCACCTCATCTCAGGCTCGGACGGGACTGCCCCTTCCGAAGGGGCGGAGCTTGAGCCGCTTCGCTTCCTTCTGCCGGACCTAGGGAAGACCCCACCAAGTCAGCATAGCATCCGACGGAAAGAGAGTGCATGGGCATCGGAGCGCCTGCTCCATGCGGCGCTGCTTCGCTGCTGGGTCCATGGGGCGTTCGCCGGCTCCTGCAACCAAGGACAACCTCTGGGAAGCTTTCGGTCTGCTCTCCATCAGCTTACCTGCTGTGCGCTTGTTCTCCGAGATATAGGCAAACTGCCGCACCTGAATCCAGCAGCAGCAGCAGCAGCAGCACCACCGCAAGCTTAACTTGCAGAGTTTCCAATTGGCAAATGAGTCTGGAGCGAAGAAGAACAGGAATGGATCATCCATGAAGGAGTCCTGAGCGAAGCTAATTGAGCCGCTAGGTCCGCTAGGTTACCAGTCCCATCCTAAGCACAGGACAAATCCAGGAGGCTCCTCAGCCCAACGAGCCGACTTCTAGGAGGCATGACACGCAGGGCCCCGTTGTCCCCACGAGCCTAAAACCCTCAAGCCTTCGCTGGCGCACTGGGCCTCCCAACCGAGCCCTCTGCGGCTCCCCCGGTTCGGGGAAGCACTTCTTTGGCTAGAGCGGCCAGGGCCTGCAACGGACTGCGGCGCCACAGGAAACTCAAGGACTGGAGAGCATGGAGTCTACAGAGTGCTGTAAAAGTTCCGCAAGACAGGCAGGTAGAAGTTTGATCTTCAGGCTCAGAGGTGGGATTAAGCCTTGGGTCACGGTCCGCAAACCAACTTCTGGGAGTTCCTGCTATAGAGATTGTCCACTGGCCTCCACGGTGGAAACGCAGCCTGCAGAGTAGACTTCAACAGCGTGGAAAAAGGCGTCGCAGTTGAAATTATGAAAGCAAAATGTGCAAGTAGCCTGTGCCCTCCGAGTGGTAGCGCCAGAATCTAGAAGGCGGAGGATGTCCAAGGCGAATCTTAGAGCGATCAGCTCATGCCCTTTTTGGGAAAGACGTCCTGCTACTGCCTTACTTCCAGGACTCATTCGATGAGGCGTGATGGGCTCTCGCAGAACACAATTTTTTGTGGACTTGGTACCAGACAGATCGCAGCTTGGCCAGCCGAGGGTGTTTGCGCAAGACCTCACCCAACGGAACCATCTGGCAGAAGGAAGTTGGAATCGCTTGATTACCCGGCGCGCCTGTGCTCGCTTCCACGGCGAGTCGATCACGACCTGGTTGCGCTCCGCTGCCAGGGCCGTCACTGCATGCTTGCGCCAGAGCAAGACTTCACAAAAGGGATGGGATGGGTGACGAGCTTGCCACATGAAGCAATCCGAGAGACGGACAAGTGTAAGACGATCAGGTGATCCGAAATCTGGCTCAGTAGCCACCTGTCGCAATCAGTCGGAAACAGACTTCAAACAGGGCATCCAACGTCCTGCCATATCCTGCCCCGGAATCGCCGGCCTCTTCGAAGGTTGCACTGCTGTCGTCCTGAGGGCACTACGCAGGATAGGACGCAAGACTGCACGGAGTAGGGTCGCAGTGCTTGGGCACCGCACTGGGAAGAGCACCAGCGTAATGTGAGGGTCGTACCTAGGACCAGCCGGCAACTCCCACTCCCCTTGAGGCCAGCGTTGTCCTCTGGCTCACAACAGAGCGCCACGGCCAAGCCTATCGCCTGAGCCTCTAGGTTCCAGTCTCGGGGATCTCCCTGATCACGGCGTTGGAGGGCACTCCTTCGCGAGGCTCTGCAGGAAAAGCTCCCGAGAAACACGCGCTGGGCACGGTCTGCGAGTTTGGGGATCCACATACAACCGCTCCTGTTGAGTCCTCGAAGTCTGCCTGTCAAGCTGCAACGTTTCTTTCTGCTCAACGAAAGCCTGACACTTAAATACTACGTCAACCGGACCCAGCGTACGTCGGGGCCTTGGTGGCAGTGCCGCCGCCGGGTCGGCTCAGGGTGCGATTAGTGTTGGCCTCTGTAGTGAAGAGGTCGATGAGGCGGACCTGCCGAATGCAAACCCTTCTACAAGCAAAACCAGATGGCAGTAGTTCGCCCACGAGTGTCCAATGCGCCTGTTCCGGAGCAAGTACTTTGGCGTGGATGCTGGTAGCCTTGCGAAAACTCCCTCCTATCGAGCGCAAAGTCGCTTGCAAAGCGGGGCCTTCTTGGGTGCATCGTCGAAGATAATGTCACACCGCGCGAATGGCAGCCTCTTTTTTCAGACACGCACGACCCTTCCAAGCTGAGACAATCCCAGCAAAGGGCCATCGCATCTTGGCAGCGAGCGGTCGTAAAGGTTCCGGAGAGATGCTATCAAAAAGAGGCACACCACGAGTACACACACCTGGCCTCGCCCTTGGAACGGTGACGCCATCGGGAACCCCGAGAGGCGTGCCTCCAAGTGCTGAACTGCTCTCACGAGTTGAAACGTCGCATCTGCAAGTTTCGGAGGCAATCCCCCTCAGCCCCTGGCAACAGAAGGGGCAGTAGAACATCGCTTTGGCCCCGCAGCTCTCACAGACCTCTTCTGGAACTTTCCTCTTCTGACAGGCTTCCTGCATCGTGCCCTGGAGGCTTGTGAATGTTTTTCGTTAACATTCCCTTCAGAATTGTAGAGGGGTCCCCTTGTTCGCTGCCGCTACTCGACCTACTTGCCTGCCTCCCTTCGCCACCTGGCAAGCTCTGCCACCAGCGCATCTGGAACCTCCACAGACTCAACAACTTCACACACTCTTTGTGCATCTCAAAGTCTCTCCACGAGCAAACGGGCCTCCGGACGCTGCTCCGGGCCCGGGCTCGGGACCGCCATGAGCAGAGTTATCGTCCCGGAGTTCTGAGGGGCGTTAGATGCTGCGCTGAGGCCTGAGGCCTGAGGCCTGAGGCCCGAGAGGGCTCAAGTCGCATCTGGGGTGCTTGGCGATGGTTCTCACGGAGGTTCTCTTGGGCAACGCAAAGGCCGGAGATGAGGCACCAAGGCTGCAACTCCCGTGCACAGGCCCAACTCGTGCTTTCTTCGCTCGGATCGCGGGAGCTGTCAGCAGGTCTCTGTCTTCAACATCAAACCACTTGAGAAGCTAGACTTGGACTTAGCTGGACCCCATACTCGCTTGCAGCCCTCGGGTTTGCGTGGAGAACTGTGGAAACTCTCCGACAAGCACCACCATGACAACTAGGTGTCGTACAGAAGCTCATGTCATGGAAAACTCCCAAACTACTCACAGCTGCTCGCGCCAAGCTGAACCTCTTGCACCGGGAAGATCTCCCAATCCCGAAGCTCTGGCACTGCAGCACCACGCTCAACTCAAAGGGCGCTGCAAAACGCTACAAGCAAAGGCCCAGGCCCGCAGCCCTCTATTCGGACGCTTCCTGCCACAGCCAAGCAAACACACATCGGCATGCAAACTCTGTTCCGGACAAAAACGTTTGGGGACACCGACATCATGCTGCTGCCTCCTCCTCACCCTCCTCACCCTCTTCACCCTCTTCCCCTTCCTCTTCGTAGCCTTCGGGGACCACCTGCAGAAACGAGAAGATTCCGATCGCCCCAAGAAGGGCCCCGGGCAAGTCCGGCCTTGATCTCAAGAACTGCAATGACTTCGGGGAGGAATTCGATGGTGCCGCGGTAAGTACCGACTTTCGTGATCTGCCACAGCGCAAGAAGGCCAAACGCTCTAAGAATCCCTTGGGACCGTAGGGACTGCTCTCAGATGGTTAACCCTGTCTCCGTCTCTTGCCTGCCACACCCAGTGGGAGTCCGACCCACCGACGTCTCTTTACATCCTAGAAGCGGTGGCCTTGGGAATCTGCACAGAGACTTGGCGCACAGGAACAGCTGTGGCCTTCACTATCTCCTGATCTCAGCGCACGGTGCTGAGGGACAAGACCGCAAAAATCTGGCCAAACAAGCAACTAAAGGCTGCTGGCATCTGGTCCTCCGCAACGTTGATCTGCGAGAGGGACCCATAGATGTTTTCCTTATCCTCGCGGACCTTCTTCTCAAAGACGAACCTGTGAGCTCGATAAACGAGCATGCCGTGCTGCAATGGGCAGACTGACAACAGTTTGTCCCCGCATATTGTCAGCGGACGACTTTCGTGAAGAAGCCGCCACAGGAGACAGAGCATGAGCAGAGAGGCGCACGGCCCATGCTTCTCGATGGCTTCTTTCTTCTTCAGAGCTTCCGCCAACCTAGTCTCCGCTGCAACGGTGAAAATGCAGGCCGGCAGGACAATAGTAACCGGCGGCCTTCAGCCAAGGGTTCTTTAGGCTTTACGGGGAACGGCTCCCGACACGTGTGGGAGCAAAGCCGGAGGCAGACTAAGAGAAGCCTGTCCTGATAGCCACTTGCATGGAAGAGCAGCGCGCTGCGACTCTCTCCGGGTTGCGGGCTGCTTTGCGGCCTCCTTGCTTTTCAGCCTAGACTCCTGATCGAGCCTCGACGGTTTGAGACGTCATTTGTCATGGAACGGATGCTTGCAATCCGCACATTATGCACATTCAGGCAACGCCACATGCTAAGCACCCGGCTGCTTCATGATGCTGGCATCCTGCCTCTTGGCCACACCCTCGGGATAGAGGATGTTGCGGTAGTAGCCCTTCTTCACCTTCCAGCAGGCACTATCACGACCTTGCCTTCAGCCAAAGACGGCCCGTGACCGTCACAACGTCGCCCTTCTTGCCAAGCTTGGGATGGTCCTTCACTCAAGAAACCCAGGAACGCGATGTCTGAGCGAAAGGCGAAAGCGGCGAAAGGCCGGCCGGCCTGCAGCAGCACCACGGTGGGTTTCCACCTTCTGTACTTCTTCGGGATGTACTTTCCCGTTGCTGTGTATTTCTGATTGATGGTGCTGGCGAAGGCATCGCCTGAGACCAGCGAGGGAGAGCTCTGCTCACTTCGGAGAGTTGTACCGCCGGCGACCAACCGACATCAATGTATGCACAAATACGGTAGCTTCTAGAACTGATCCTAGTTCGAAAAACGGAGATTGGAGAGAATGGCCCAGATAGGGTAACTGCGCCACTGCCGCCCGACTATGGTCCAATGTCTGTCAAAGTGCTTCATTATATGGGACGTCATCTTGTCTTCGCTTTTCTGGCAGGCAAACTATAGTCCCTTTCTATCTAGGGGCCGAATTGTATAGTGCTTTTGGCAGGATCCTTTGCGAAGAGTTATCTGAACCTATGTACTGAAATAAGCTTGTCGTTTCATCTGACTGTCTTAATTTTCAATTTGGCGAAAAAACTGAAGTGCTCGTTGCTACGGACTGATGTTACAGTTTCTCTTCTCTTCGTGATGCCCATAAACACGACACGCACCTAAGGTTTCGAGCATGCTTGCAGATCACCATGCACCTGAAAAGTGGACAAGTCCTGGTCTACAAAGTTGTTTCAAATTTGGAAGTCCCTGCCATGCCACCACGGCAGACGAAGACAACAAAAATAGCAAAGCCACTGTTCTTGCGCACAGATGTTCTTATCTCCCGCATTCAACTCTTCGTTAGTTGAATGGGGAGGGATTGTTGAGGTTCTCGCTGTACAGGCTATTTTAGCAAGCTCGAAGACGCACGTCGTCGTCGTGCTGCTGCGCACGCTGATGCGTCCTTGTTTTCATACTCTGTCCCTTGCTTTGAGGTTCTTGACCGTGATTGCATTTCCCTTTTTGGTTCGTCTTCGGGCTTTTGGGTTGTAATGCTCCCCTTAAGTGCCTCTCCGATCGCCAGGCTTTGCGCCTGTTGATGGTCGCCTGGGTTTAAAACTCACTTTGTGCCTTAGGCTCGGCTACGGTTTTGTGGAGTTCGACTCCCTTTGAGCACAGCACAGCAGGCCGTCGGGCGGAGTTCCCCCCAAGCGATTCCAGAAGCCCGCTTCCCAATTTGCCACGCAGCACATGCCAGGAGTTCGTGAGCTTGTAAACGACCACTGCCGCGGTCCTTCTTCGTAGGCTGTTCTGCACCGCTTGGCGGCTGCGCCCCTCAAACTCTCAGGCCCTTTGATGGTGTGGGTGCCTTCATCAACCTCATTCAATTCTTATTTCCCCCCGCCCGAACTCACCCTCTTAAAGCCTACGGTGTCTCTTCTTCATTCACTTCTTGACAACAGCTCTTCATGTTTTTTCTGTTTTTCAGTATGTACTCTTTGCTGCTGTAGACTTTCAACTGCACTCAGGCCACGGCCAGCACTCGCAAGTAGCGAGCCGGCCAGGAAGGCGCCGAGGAGCGCCGCAAGGGAGGCGATGCCTAAGTCAGGTCGGCAACCAAAAACGAAGCGGAGCAAAGCTCAGCGAATCTGCGGGATATCTTTCTACTGGTAGCCCCTGTGCCCTATAGGCCCTAGAACCCGCAGCTCGGCCGCTGGCTCAGCGCCCTGCGCGGACGCATTCTCGGCGCCTTGGGCTTGGATTCTGTAACTCGAGTTTCGAAAGGAGGGGGGCTCGGTCTGGGCCAGGAGCCTTGGCCTCCAAGCCGAGATCGCCCTGGCGTACGAAATCGTAGGCCGTAAGCTCTCACTCAAGCGGACACCGTCTGCGGCTGCGGCCTCAGCCCACATGAGGGAGGCGCGGTCACTCCCCGTTTGAGCCGAGTCTACGGGAAGAACTCACCGCTTCGTCATCATGACTCCATGTTGACTCCATGACTTGTCTGACCTCTTCGATCCACAGCTCCACAATTGTTTCCTTTTTTGCTCCTGCAACAACGTGGGCCCTCACTTGTTGCAGGTACCGCACAATGCGGCGGTGCTCGATGCCGCTGAGGCCGTGTAACCGCCTCGGGTACTGTCCGTGTCCTGTCTTGTCGCCCTGAGCACTTGCCCTTCGAATCGTGCAAGTGCGTCGTAGGATGCTGGCACGACTTCGGCGGTGACAGCCTGCACAGCGTTCTCGAAGCTCGGTTTCAGTCTACACTCCGATATTGTGGGAGAATCCCAGACCGTCAGGATTGCCACAAAAACGCAGACAAGTGAGGGAGTCCAGAGATGCCGAGATGCGTGAATTCCGTCTGGCCAGCAACAAGAGTGCGAGTGAAGGTGAGGAAGAGAGTGAGAGTGAGGGTGAGAGTCAGGGCGACGGTGAGAGTCAGGGCGACAGTGAAGAGGGTGTGATGGACGAGAGTCCCGAATAAAGACATGCTGCACTGCAGGCCTACACTCCAACATGCACTCACACTGCGCATGCCGTGCTTAGACGGAATGCCTCCAAGTCTGTGTTCTCCGCCACAGTGAAGGGGACGATCACGCCGCCCCCAACATCCATGTCTACCTGCACTGGCATCCGTGTGCTCAAGCAGAGGTGAGCTACTCACAGAAAGCCCATGGTGAGATGACTGTGCACAAACTCCTATCAGGGCCAACAGTGCTTTTCTTCGTTGAGCAGACACGATGTTAAGAGGCCCTTTCGCCGACTGCGCCGGCACTCCGGGCTCTTCGAGCTCCAGCTGGCTCACGAGCCGAGCGGGCTTCGGCGCGCCGGTTGCCACCTGATCAAGCGCATTTTTGTTGGACGAGAAGCACAGTGCAACTCCTCCCGAACACCCGCACAAGAAGTGTCTTTATCTGTTCTGCGACTTCCAGCCTGCCTTTACATGGAAGACTTTCAAACCGGGGGCCGTGGAGTCCCGCTTGTGGGCTACAGGCCGCTCGGCATCATGGAGACCAAGCGAGGTCTTTGGAAGCAGCGAGGTTGCAGCTCACAGTCGACAGTCCTCAGTAACCTCCTCCCCCACAGAACTCGGATGGTGCCATGAGCAGACCTAGATGCAGAGGGTCACAGCGTCGTCAAGAGGCTGACCCACTATAGACGCTCTCGCCTATGTGGCTGCGTCGCGAGGCAGTCATGCTATTGCAAGCACGCCTTTGGACAAAAAGTCGAATTCAACTTTAAGAGCACATCAAGCGTGCCCATGAAGTCAAGTTTACGCTAGGAGGCATCTTTAAAAAGATGCCTACTGCGTCAAGTTCCTTGCAAAACCAGCCAGAGTGCAAAGCGATCCAAAAGAACGGCCGTGGCCCATAATCATATCACTGCTAGCTTTACGCTTTTGCATCGCTTGAATGCCGGCTGCTACTAAATTCCCGCCCATCAGTGGACATGCCTTGTCACGGAGATTGAAGCTTTGAACCATCTGGATTGTGAGATCACGGCCCTTGCCCTCGCCTTGAGCACGCCTTTAAAGCACTGGCGGCCCCACCCAAATGGAAAACCTCGGAGATTTCACTTCAAAGGAAGAAGCTCAGCAAGTGAGATTCGGTAGTAGCAAGTTGGAGGGAAGTGGAAACTCTGGGCCCTTTCGCCTTTTTCGATCACTGCAGCAGCAGTCTGGCATGAGGTGCCAGGCTGGTCTGAAGACATCGATGACGCTGGTGAGACCTGCAGATGGGACCTTTCAGTTTCTGTTGCATTTAGGAGTTGAGGGTGTAAGAAACCAACATGGCAGGACGCCACGGGCAGGAAACCACCTCTGCATCACTATCAGCGTCGTAGGCATCATCTGCGGTTCAGCCATGCCACTCAGGAGTGCGGCTTTCTTCGAAGAACTACTTGAAAATTGCATGCAGGTCCTTCCGGAGTCGAAGCGGCTTTTTTCTCTTGCATCAACCGCAAAAGGGAATGCAGTCACGAGAACCCAGGACCCACACTTTAACAAACAGTCCATGCATGAGCATGTCGCCTACGCATCATCCAGTGCAGCCACGCCGGGGAGGAGCTTGCCCTCCAAAAGCTCCAGGGATGCACCGCCACCAGTGCTGCAGTGAGAGACCTTGTCGACAGTGTCATACTTTTTGCAAGCGGTGGCGGTGTCGCCACCACCGATCACGGAGACGGCGCCGTCCTTCGTGACCGACACGATGGTCTCCATCATCTGCTTCGTCCCTTTTTCGAAAGCCTGGCAACCGAAAATCTCAGCGGGAGTACCGAAACGGTAGAGTCGGGTAGAGATGCAGAAACACCGCCCAGCAGTTTTTAAACTAGGAATCAGGAGGGCCCCGGAGCGGCCTCCATCTCGAAGACACCCATAGGACCATTCCAGACGATCGTCTTGGACTTCTTGATGGCCTGCAGAATGTGGCATAGCTGAGTCTAGCATGCCGGCTTCTCTCTGAACTGAGTCTGGACTCGGTAGATTCAGGAAGACGTGGGTAGCAGTTGGTTCGAACAAGTTCGAACACTTAGCGTGACCTGAGCATACTGCAAGAGAAACACCACGCCTCGTCGTTCATTTCGATGGACTTGGGGCCGATGTCGAGGCCCAGGAAGCCGTCGGGAACCCCGGTGCTCATGTCCCCTTCCTGGATCTCTCCGTCATCCCCGAACTTGGAGGAGCACACGAAGTCCACCGGCAAAATGAGCTCCACGCCCTTCTCCTCGGCCTTCTTCCTGGGCTCTATCTACATACATATATATATATATATGTATATGTATATGTATATGTATATGTATGTACATACATGCATGCATGCATGCATGCATGCATACATACATACATACATACATACATAGATAGATACATACATACATACAGTATAGAATATCTGTATGTATGTATCTAGATATACATTTATATATATATATATATATATATGTATATATATATATATATATGTATAAGTCAAGAACAGTTGGTTTTTGTCGCCACGAGGCCAGAAGATTACAAGTAGGTTAGCCACTATACACCGTATAGCTTCGCTATGGTCAATAATCTTCCTTAACCAGAACCAAGCTTCCTGATCTCCGGCACCAGCTTGGCACCCTCCTCGTCGTAGAGGGAGTTGCCGATGTCCACGCCTGCCTCCTTGATGAAGGTGAAGGCCATACCTCCTCCAATGATCATGATGTCCACCTTACCCAGGGCATTCTACATGCAAAGGCACCTGGATCCTGATACGCTTAGACCCCAGCGATATGCACATCCCCGGGCTCGTGATTTCGGAAAGCAGTTTGGAAATCGGGTTTAGGGCGCCTTGTCCAGCAGGTTCATGATGAGCTGAATCTTGTCTGCGACCTTGGCTCCACCGAGGATGCCGCACACCGGCCTGGTAGGGGCATCCACGACCTGGACAGGGACTTCAAAGCCGCAAACCCACCCCTTAAAAGGGATTATTGCTAGGGTAATATATGGGTTCCGGGAGTCTTACGACGGGTCCTCGGGCCCGTGGCCTTCGCAAAGTAGTCGAGCTCCTTGGCCAGCAGGAAGCCAGAGCACTTGACCGGGTAGCCCTCACCAACCATGGAGCTGTGGGCACGGTGGGCGGTGCCGAAGGCATCGGAACAGTAAATGTCGGCCAACTTGGCGAGAGAGGCTCGGAACTCCTTCACCTTCTCTGGATCAGCCTTCACCTGGGTAGTTGTCAAAATTATGGTCCCTTTTGGGGTACCCTAAATAATAGGTGCCGTATTGCATTGTAATAAGGACCCAAAAAGGGACTATAATTTTGACAACCGCCCACCTTGTTCCCATCGGCGTCCTTTCCCTTGCCCTCCTCCTCAACATAGAAGCGGGAGTTCTCCAGCAGAATGACAGTGCCCGGCTCAGGGTCAGCGCAGGCAGCCTCTGCAGGAGCCCATTGCAAGGTAATATCGCTATACGCAGGATTTATCTTAGAAGCGGTTAAGTCTCAAGGCGCTATCTGTCTGTGCTTTTTCGGAAGCTCTAATCCTCGACTTCCTCGCCGACCACATCGTCCATCAGCTTCACCGGCACTCCCAACTTCTCCTCGACCACCTGGGAGTTTGTCAAACAACGTTTCTGACGGTGTACTTTGCCTATAGGATTCCTGTATGTATAGCAACGTTTAATTTTGGGGCTCTGCGCACTGAAACTCCCACCTTGGCGACCGGTTTCATGGAGAATTTCTCCTCTGCTGATTTGAAAGTTTGTCAAACGACAGCAGGATGCTGATTACTGAACCCTAAAAGTTAAACTTTAAGGCTCCTGACTATAGCTCATATAGAAACCCCAAAAGTTAGAGTCCTAAGAGCCACCCAGAAGAAGGCCAAGTCTCATCCTTCTGCCCATTGGGGCGGCCCAAGTGCGAGCAAAGCACCACGGACTTGGCACCGTTGTCCAGGGCATACTTGATGGTGGGCAGAGCGGCATCGATTCGGGCCGTGTTGGTGATGATGTTCGGGTCCTTCTTGTCCTGAGGCACGTTGAAGTCGACGCGGATGAAGAC